GCCAAATTAAGTTATTTAGTTCATTGTTCTGAAGTGAGCCTTCTATGAAGTCATGTTTCTGTCCTGATTCTAATTGGAACCATTGCCAAACAATCTTAAATCTTAATGCATTCCAGTCCCTTTTACGTTTTTGCAATGATTACTTGTAATAACCATGTCTATATGCATATTCTGCTTTCTGCAAGTAAGATATACCAAGAAACAGTCTTTCATGTTTCCTCTGTGTTTTGTGTTCTATTTTCTTTTCCAATGGACACTCCCTGTTTGTGCTGTGAACCCTATATCATTCATTCACATCCTCTTCATCTTGTTAGATGAGGAGATGACATTTTCTTTCAGGCTCTTGAGAATGTGGAGCAGATCCTAGTTGTTAACCTTGCCTTATGAGCTCAGGCCAGATCTTCTTTTTTCCTAGCCTTGAGGTATTGTTTCAACTTTTTTTATTCCTGAGCATAACCAGTTTGCAGCAGTTTAACTCTGTGATTGCACAACTGCTGTTCAAACCTTGGGCTCCTGAATAAAGTTTGGAGAAGGTGACTGGAAAGTTTAGTCATATAGACTTGCAGATAGTACAGTAGAGACGACTATTCAACCCATTGAATTTGTGTTAGGTGTTTTGAAAAGCAGTCCAGTTACTCCCATTGTCATCCCATCAAAAAACGTAACCGTAGTCGAATTTAATATTTGCTTAACAAATTCATGCTTTTATTGTCATGGTTCTCCAAATGGATGTTAATTTTGTTCCAGATTATTGTTCCTGAAAGTTTCCCAACCACTAACATTAAACAGACTGTAGTCACCTTGCCAAATTTATCCTCCTTCCCTTTAGAATTCAGGACACAACATTTTTGTCCAGGTAACTTCTTTTGAATACAGCCAGCCTTCCTTGGTCCTTCTCATTATCTGTTTTCTATCTCATCCAGCACCTTACCTCTTTGCCACAGTTTCGGCAAACTCGTTTCCTACAACAAACAGCAATGCAAAGTATGTATTTAGCATCTCATATCTTCTGTCTTCAACTATAGATCTTTATCTTGGTGCCTAACTAACTGCACCATTCCTGAGAACGTCACCCTCCCTGTTACTTCTTTGTAGAAGAACTTTGCAAATAGAAACAAAGAAACATAGAAGATTGGAGCAGGAGGTGGTCATTGGGCCCTTCAAGCCTGTTTCGCCATTCATCATGATCATGGCTGATTGTCCAATTCAATAGCCTAATGCTGCTTTCTCCCCATAACCTTTGATCCTGTTCGCCCCAAGTGCTATATCTTGCTGCTTCTTGAATACATTCAATGTTTTGGCATCAACTACTTCCCATGGTAATGAATTCCACAGGCTCACCATTGTTTGGGTGAAGAAATATCTCCTGATCTCCATCCTAAATTGTCTTCCCTGAATCCTCAGACTGTGACCCCTGGTTCTGAACACACTCACCGTCAGGAACATCCTCCTTGCCTCTACCTTGTCTTGTCCTTTTAGGATTTTATAAGTCTCTGAGATCCGCCCTCATTTGTATTCTTATACTTCAACCAACAATCTATTTTTGTATTGTCTCTTTTCTCCTCCTATTTCCTCTATCTCTTACCTTCTGTACTTTTAAATTCAGGCTGATTCTCCCTTCTGTTATCAAGTTGTCTGTCATATGCCCCTTCTGCTTTATCCTATCTTCGCCTTGTCATTCCTTTGTCATACAGAGAGCTATGACTTTGCTTGTCCTCCTTTTCACTGTTGTGGGAATGCACCTTGACTAAATCCAAACCACCTCCAATTTAAAGAGTGCCTATTGCTCTTTTGCATTTCTGCTTGACATTTCCTTGATCTCATAGAAACATAGAAAATAGAGGTAAGCCATTCAGTGCTTTGTTCCTGCTCCGCCATTTAATATGATCATGGATCATCTCAGTATTCTGTCCCTGCTTTCTCTCCATACCCTTTAGTTTCAAGACCTCTATCTGACTCCTCCTTGAAAACATTCAATACTTGGCCTCGATGCCACTCTGGCAGAGAATTCCACAGGTTCACTACTCTCCAGATGAAGGAATTTCTCCGCATCTCAGTCTTAAATAGCCTACCCTGTATCTTTAGACAATGACCCCTGTTTCTGAATTCTCCAATTATCGGGAACATCTCTCCAGCATTTATATTGTCTATTTCTTTTAGAACTTTATATGTTTCTATGAGATTACCCCCTCACTCTTCTCAAATCTAGTGAATATAGCCCCAGCTGATTCAGTCTCTCTCTCATACATTAGTCCTGCCATCCCAGGAATCAGTCTGATTTCAAATTATCTGAGCCAGAAATCTTTGATTGATTAAATTATTTATTTTTCAGTTTAATATTTTTATTCCAGTTTACTGCTAGTCCTTTTCCATAGCTAATCTAAACCTAAAAGCTGTAAGACTACAATGACTATTTCTGAGGTGATCTTTGACTGTGACATTCTCTGTTAGACCCCCTTCATTCACTAGGTCTAGATCCAGCACGGCCTCCTTCCTCATCAGACAGGAAACGCTGATCAAGAAAATTCGCATGAGCAAACCAGAAATTCCCCCTTAACACAATTCCTACCTCATTCAATAGTGAGGTAAAAGAAAATGTCCTACGATCACCATTCTACAATTTTTGCATTTTCCATTAATTTGTCTGCTAACCTCTTCTAGCTTCTCATTGTTGAAAGCCTAAAAGTACACCAAGTGAATACCTCCTTTATTGTTAGTTACCTTCAACCAAATAGATTCTGCCTTTGACCTTCAAAGACTTTCCCTTGTTGTAGCACTATGATATTTTTTCTTGATCAAAATTTTCACCATTCCTGCCTTTTCTACCTTAGCCATCTTTCCTGACCGCCTTGTAGCCAGGAATATTATGGAGCCATTAATTCTTTTCTCTTTTAAAGTGAGGTCACTCTCATTGCTCCTGCACCATATTCTCAGGTGGCTATTTACACCTGCAGCTCATCTACTTTATTTGCCACGCATTTATAGGCAAGCATTCCACAACCAACTTCACTTCATTGTATTTCTGTACTCCCACCTAATTCTAACGTTTCGCAAACCTAACTTTCTCTCGCAGTGTTTGGTGCAACTTGTTTCTACTTAATAACGCTGTGCTTTATATCAAAATCCGGATTAAATTAGTTAGAAGCCTCCTCCACAGCACTTGGCATCTTTGTTTGCCAGGATCTTGGTACTAGTCCAGTTCTGTTGCAACCCATCCATTTGGAATCAGTCCTTCCATTTACAGAGGTGGTCCCAATGTCTCAAGAAGTTGAAGCCTTCCCACCTACACTGTGCCCCTAGCCATGCATTGACCTTCAACATCCTTATGTTTTTATTCTCTTTAGTTATGGCACTGGGAGTAATCCAGACTTTACTGCCATTGAGTTTCAAGCATGTTAACTTAATTTCCAGCTCTTGAAACTGCAGGAATTTAGAGTTCTTTTGCTCCACATTGTTGGTTCTGATATGGACCTTGACTCAAGGACTTGAACTTCTGCCTCTTTCCCTTGCCTCTGCAGCATGTTCTACAACCTTTCAGTCCTTTCTCCTGACATCAAAGAAAATTTTGTACTGCAGGTTTCATGTTGACAGGAGCATAACTGTTTGCCCCTTGAATTTCAATCCAGTAGTTTTAGTAGATTTGAGGGAAACAACAATGGGACACTGTAACCCTGTTTGATAGAATACTTTGAAAATATATCTTCGACATAGATCTTGGAGCGGATTAACATAGTCTACTCTGTGTCAGAATCCATTATCTGCATACGTTTTCTTCCTGAGCTCAGTTGTGCCCAAAGCCATGGATCTTAGTGAAGCACTTACATGGCTTGTTCTTGTTAGAAGGCACTGCCTTCAATATTGGAGGTGTGAGCTCAACCTTCTGTAAGGTCTTGATTACAACAATCTCTGTCACTTAGACCTCATCTCGTTGTACACTGTGTGGATGATAGCCGTTGCCATTTCAACTCAATATTCTTTAGCACAAACAAAGATTTGTGCCGTGTCTGTTGGTTTCAGTGGACTTTATCTCCAGCTGTACTATCATGTGAAACCTGAATCCATCTGGACTGAATTCCAAGTGCAGAGTTACCTGTCACTTGTTAAATTTCTGACTTGCCTATTTGCAGCATTTTACCATTCTAGCAAGACTTTATCTGCTCTTGGCAACAGCCACTCGACTAAGATTAGGAATAGCTCTTTGTTTCTGTTTACACATTGTGTTTTGGCACAGAGCACCTTCTTTTTCAAAACACGCAGATATGTTTAACAACAAAAAGTATGACAAGTTGAAAATGAAATTTTAAATGGATTGAGATGAAGCATTTGGAGAATATTTGGAAATTGAAACCAGCTGGTACTCAGACATCTGAAGATCCCATACAGGCCAGTGAAAACACGCAACTACACACCAAGTGTCAAATAAATATGTTTGTGGAGCCATCCTCGTTATTGTTTCATAAATTCAGAAATATGCATCAGCATTTCTACTGAACCATATTTGCAACTGGTTCCTTATTTGGAGTGACCTGGAGCCACATCCTTCAACTATAAGAAGATGTGGCTAATCCTTATTTCTAAGCAGGGAACAGTGACAAATTTCACTGAAATTTCTCTTCCTCTTGTACACAGTGATTCGATATTCAGCATCAAAGATTGTTATTGTTTGGAGACCCTCAAAATCCAGTCTGTGGGGAGGGGGCGCGAGCGGCATTAATATAGAATAATGGTTCTTGAAACGGGGTTGTGGGGGGCAAGGGTTGTCTGCAAAGGCATACCAAGTCCAGACCAGTATTATGAGAGAGTGACATTGAGGGAAGTATACATTGAAGAATGTTGAGAGTGATATGAAGATCACTAGATGTTAATAATCTGTAATTAAGTAACTGCTTTCTTAAGGGATTAATAAAACCTGCTCTATGTTTAGCAGTTTCCTACTATGAGTAATATATAGTGTTATAGTTCAGATGGTGGTCCATAGTTACTAATCCATTTACACGCAGGTCCTTCAAAAATGTTTGAGAAACACCAGAGAACTTATTGTGTATTGTGAACACCAGCTACAGGAGAGGAATGAAGGAGTGTAAGAAGAAAAACAGTTTTCAAGACATCTTTGTATTCACAATCTCAGTGAACCATGCCAATGTGTATAAATATAATGTAACTTTCTCAGCTTTGTAAAACTCATTCCAGTGTAAATCTGAAAATGCTGGGAAACTCCGGTCTGGCAGCTTCTGAGGAGAGAGAAACAGAATTATCATTTTGATCTCAAGAAACTCTTCTCCAGAACAAAACAAAGTCTCGAAAAGTTGACTCAATTTCTCTCTTCACGTATGTTGCCAGACTTGCTGAGTCTCTGTAGCATTTTCAGTTTTTGTTTCAGATTCCCATCATCTGCAGTAATTTGCTTTCATCCAGTGTAAATCAGATGTACAAGGTTGACAATGAACTGGATCTCATGGTGAACAATGCACTGGCTTGGAGGCATTGTGGCCTTTTGATTAGATTGAAGAGTTGTTACTATTGAAAAAGGAAGCATCGGTTAAGAAAATGTAACTCAATGCTATAATTCAATGTAGAAAGTGAACCGAAAGATGGGATGAACAGAGGAAAGGGAAGAAGTAAAAAGTAAGCATTTCACGAATTCAACAGCAATTGAAATCTGAAGGATTGTGATGTCATGCTAGAAAAGTAAATTTTTAGTGCCAGAGAGGTGGTTTAGCAGTAAATAAGACTTGTCACCAACAAAAATATTACTTGAACGGTCAAGCTCCAACGTTTTTACATCTAAGTTAGCTGATATATATCACATCAGTATAGCAACTTAACATTGTTCTGTGGGTTTCATTGTTGATCTATTGGTGTGGTGCCATTGTTCTGTGCCCTTTGCAGGAGTAACAAACTTACAGCAAGTTCCTGAATTCTTTAACTGCACATATGCAATCATTAGAAGTTGCTGTCTGATTTCCTCTTTAATAACAGTGCTGGCCTCACCATTACTTCTAAGGCAACGTTTTCTGTGTCTGGTCTTTTATGATCCTGATGTGATGTGTTTTGAACAGATAAAAACCCTCTGCAGAGCTTTGCATGTGATGTTCATCGTGACTCATTAATCTGGCCCCTCAGAGCTCATGAACTGACAGGGATGTTGCTGTTGTGGAAATATAACTCCTGTTTTGTATCTGCCAATGACTTATCCAGTGTATGACTTGATTCCGTTGTTTCACTGAATATGTTCAAGTTGAGTTTTTACATAGAGAACACTCTAATGCAATTTAACAGGGAAATAAAGTTATTATGATTACAATACAGTAAATGGACTAAAATGCTTACATCTGACATACTTGGAGTTTTCTCTGATGCATTGGCTAAAGGATATTCCATGTACATCAGCTGATAAGAATCACTGATAATGAATAAGGGATTATTAGGCTGAACAAGCCCATTGCTTTTAATGTCAGAATCCTGTCAATGGTGTGTAAAGGTATACCCCAAAACGTTAGTGCTCTGAACTTTTTGAACGAGGTAAGAAATACCCTGCAGAATAAAGATTGAGGTTAGTTTCAGTTTGGTATGACTTCTTGCATTTTCATTTATATCTGTTTTTTATTGCACATTGTCATATAGTCAGGTGTAGTTGAATCAGAGATAGTAGGAACTGCAGTTGCTGGAGAATCCGAGACAACAAGGTGTAGGGCTGGATGAACACAGCAGGCCAAGCAGCATCAGAGGAGCAGGAAGGCTGACGTTTCGGGCCCAGATCCTTCATCAGAAAAGGGGGAGGGGAAGGGGGTTCTGAAATAAATAGGGAGAGAGTGGGAGGCGGATAGAAGATGGATAGAGGAGAGGATAGGTGGAGAGGAAACAAACAGGCCGAAGAGGCGGGGATGGGGCCAGTAAAGGTGAGTGTAGGAGGGGAGTTAGGGAGGGGATAGGTCAGTCCAGGGAGGACGGACAGGTCAAGGGGGCAGCATGAGGTTAGTCGGTAGGAGATGGGGGTGCGGCTTGAGGTGGGAGGAGGGGATAGGTGGGAGGAAGAACAGGTTAGGGAGGCAGGGACGAGCTGGACTGGTTTTGAGATGCGATAGGGGGAGGGGAGATTTTGAAGCTTGTGAAATCCACATTGATACCATTGGGCTGCAGGGTTCCCAAGCGGAATATGAGTTTCTGTTCCTGCAACCTTCGGGTGGCATCGTTGTGGCACTGCAGGAGGCCCAGGATGGACATGTTGTCTGAGGAATGGGAGGGGGAGTTGAAATGGTTCGCGACTGGGAGGTGCAGTTGTTTATTGCGAACCGAGCGTAAGTGTTCTGCAAAGCGGTCCCCGAGCCTCCGCTTGGTTGCCCTGATGTAGAGGAAGCCACACCGGTCACAGCGGATGCAGTATACCACATTGGCAGATGTGCAGGTGAACATCTGCTTGATGTGGAAAGTCTTCTTGGGGCCTGGGATGGGGGTGAGGGAGGAGGTATGGGGGCAGGTGTAGCACCTCCTGCGATTGCAGGGAAAAGTGCCGGGTGTGGTGGAGCTGGAGGGGAGTGTGGAGCGGACAAGGGAGTCACGGAGAGAGTGGTCCCTCCGGAAAGCAGATAAGGGTGGGGAGGGAAAGATGTCTTTGGTGGTGGGGTCGGATTGCAGATGGCGGAAGTGTCGGAGGATGATGCGTTGGATCCGGAGGTTGGTGGGGTGGTACGTGAGGACGAGGGGGATTCTTTTTTGGTTCTTATTGCGTGGGCAGGGTGTGAGGGATGAGTTGCGGGAGATGTGGGAGACACGGTTGAGGGCGTTCTCGACGACTGAGTGGGGGCAGTTACGGTCCTTGAAAAATGAGGACAACTGAGATGTACGGGAGTGGAATGCCTCATCCTGGGAGCAGATGCGGCGGAGGCGAAGGAATTGGGAATAGGGGATAGCATTTTTGCAGGAAAGTGGGTGGGAGGAGGTGTATTCTAGGTAGCTGTGGGAGTCGGTGGGCTTGAAATGAATATCGGTTTCTAGGTGGTTGCCCGATATAGAGACAGAGAGATCCAGGAAGGGGAGAGAGGTGTTAGAGATGGTCCAGGTAAATCCCCCTCGTCCTCACGTACCACCCCATCAACCTCCGGATCCAACGCATCATCCTCCGACACTTCCGCCATCTGCAATC